TTTTTTTCCAAGTAGAGACTGGGTTTCACCATGTTGCCCAGGCTGGTCTCAACTGCCTAGACTCAAGCAATTCGTCAACCTCGCCTTGCAAAGGTTTTACTACTAAGTTCACCACTTTAGAAGTTTGAAGTATTTGAGAGAATCAGAAATATAAGGCTTTAAGTGCAGTTTAAAACATTTAAGATAATTAACTTTGTAAAAAGAGTTAATTGTACAAGGGAATTTAATCTGTTCAACTGATGCCTTAATTGAACCTTTGTCAAAGATCGAGTTTTTTAAAAAAGTTCTTAAATTTGTAAATAAAACAAGATTTGTGAGTAATACTTAAAAATAGGTAAGTTTTTAAATACTCAACATTAGCCCAGCATAGGGGCTCACACCTGTAATCTCAACACTTTAGGAGGATTGCTTAAGCCCAGGAGTTCAAGACCAGCCTGGGCAACACAGTGAGACCACCTATACAAGAAATACAAAAATCAGCTGAGGTGTGGTGGCATGCACATGTGGTCCCCACTCCTCAGTAGGCTGAGCTGGGAGAATCCGTTGAGCCAGGGAGATTAAGGCTGAAGTGAGCAGTGATTGTGCCACTGCACTCAACCCTGGGTAACAGTGCAAGACTCTGTCTCAAATAATAATAATAATTATTATTAATAAATATTCAACTCTAATGAGTTGAACATTAAGTATAGAAGTCTACACATAGAAACATCCGTCTCAAGGCTGGGTACAGTTGCTCACTTCCCGTAATCCCAGCGCTTTAGCAGGCTAAGGCAGGATAATTGCTGGAGCCTAGGAGTTTGAGACCAGCCTGAGCAGTATGGTGAGACCTCATTTCCAAAAAAAAATTTTTTTTTCATTAGCCAGGTGTAGTGGCACACCCATGGACTCTCAGCTACTAAGGAGGCTAACCTGAGAGGATGGCTTGAGCCCTGAGCCTGGGAAGGTCCAGGCTGCAGTGAGCCATGATCCTGCCACTGCACTCCAGCCTGGGCAACAAGAGCGAAATTCCATCTCAAAAAAGAAAAGAAAAAGATCCCCCTTTTAAAGCCTCAGCTGATGTTACTAAGAAAATATTAGCCTTCCCTGTCCCTTGGTTGTTCTCAGGAATATCATATTTTTTCTTACTTTAAATATATCCTTTTAATCACTGTATTTTCAAACTGGTTATTGACGAAACAGAAAAACTAACTTAGCGTATTACAATTTATAAAGAGTACCCTTCCTGAATTCTTATTTTAATGGCTTTTTTTCAAAACAGGCAGACCTATCATCCACAGAAATGAGAATTCTGTCTTCCCTTTTCCACAACTGCATTTCTTAATTTTTGTTTCCTGTCTTATTGCATTGGCTAGAACTTTCAGGATATTACACAATATATTCTGACTGTCTAATCGTGATAACGTACCATGTTTCTGATGTTAAGGGGAATACCTCTAGATTTTGGTGCAATGTTGATTTAAGATTTTGGGGTGGGGGAGGGAAAGGAGTCTGTCGTCCAGGCTGAAGTGTGATGCTGCGATCTCAGCTGACTGCAATCTCGCCTCCTGGGTTCAAGCGATTCTCCTGCCTCAGTCTCCAGGGTAGCTGGGATTACAGGCATGTGCCAGCACGCCTGGCTAATTTTGTATTTTCAGTAGAGACGGAGTTTGACCGTGTTGGCCAGGCTGGTCTCGAACTACTGACCTCGGGTTGCCCGCACGCATTGGCCTCCCAAAATCCTGGGGTTACAGGCTTATGCCACCATGCCCAGCCAAGATTCATGTTTTTAATTAAATTATTAAAATACCCTTCAATTCCTCACAAACTCAATTTTAAACTTAAATACATATGTTAAATTTCTATTAAATTATTCCCTGATATCTTAAACAACACTTCAAAAATCGCTTTGTCTTAAAAACACATACTCACTAAATGACAGTCTGCACACGTATTTCATGGTACTTCAGGGGAACTTATCTCCAAATAATCATCAAGCTGCTGGACAACCCAATAGGCTAAACAGCGACTTGCAGCCGAAACCTCTAAACACCACAATGCCTTGGGGAAGTGCGTGTGGACCCGTTACCTTTTCCAGCAGGCAGTGACTCAACAAGAGTCCGACACCAACTTTAGGTCAATCCTTGACACTGTGGAGTCTGTAATTGGGACTGGGATCTTTTGCATAATTGTTTCTACCTGGTCTGCTGAGTTTGGGCCCGCGCTGCGCTCAACTGCAGTTAACACTTCCCAGTTCATGGTTCAGTTTTAAAGTGTCCGCACTACGCCCGGCATCTGTCTTCCTGTTGTCACAACTTTTTCAAAAGTGCAAAAACTAAAGCAAGGCTAACGGGAGAGCCCGGTCCCGACAACGACACGCACCTTTGTCCCCAACGCCGACGCGGGCCGCAGACGTCCTCCCGCGGCGGTCCTCATGCCGGCCAGGGCCCCGGGCGGTCGCGCAGCTAGCGGTCGGCTCCCGAGCCGCGGCTCCCGGCGGGCGGGCGGCCCGTGCCTCGGCCCATGGCCGGGTCCCGGCGCCCAGAGAAGCTTGGGGTGCCGAGCCGCGCGCAGGTCCAGGAAGAAGCGGAGAAATGCCAACTCGACGTCCGCGTAGCCACTCTGGGGACACCCGGGGGTCGGGAAAGCAGTCGCCAGGCGCCCCGGGAGAACTTGCAAAGCTGGACCCCGCGCTCACACGCCGCCTCCGAAAGCGGCCGTCGGGAGGAGTGCTCCAAAGAACCCGGGCGGCGGGAGCGGACGGGCGCGGACACCCGGGCCTCCCGGCCTGCGATCAAGCGGAGCCGCCGGGCACGGGAGCCCAGACCTAGGCGGAGGCTGAGTTCCAGGCCGCGCCGAGCTCCGTCAGGGCAGCTCCCGGGCGCAGAGACGCGGCCGACCGGCGCCTCGGGCTCGGGAATGGCCCCGGGGCCCGCGCCGGACTAACGGCCGTAACGGAAGCGCCAAGAGGGGAGGGGCGCCGACTCCAAGGCCCGGGGGCGGGGCGGGCCGCGAGGCCGGCTCCCTCTTGCGCTCAGCCGGTCGCACAGTCGCCGCCGCCGCCTCAGACCGCGGACGCTTCGTTGTCACGAGCCGGAGGGAGGGGGAAGGAGCCGGGAATCTCTGCGCTCCGGCGCGCGGAGACCGCGGCGCTCGCATCACGTGCCTCTTGGCTGGCCAATGAGCCCCGGCAGGCGCGGTGACGTCAGAGCAGCGGCGGGGCCGATGACAGCCGGCCCCTGTCACGTGGTCTGGCCCACTCCAATGGGCGGCGCCGGGGCGACCTGCTGTTCCCGGCGGCCCGTGCGTCGGCGGTGGTTGGGTGGTAAGATGGCGGCTGTGAGTCTGCGGCTCGGCGACTTGGTGTGGTGAGTCCAGGCGGCCGGGTCAACTGAGACGCGCCGGGGAACTGCCCGCCTGTGCGCGGGGTTCGCGGCCGGCCTAGGAGCTGCCTTTCTATGCGCTCCAGGTCGTGGAGAGAGGGGAAGAGAAGGTGCCGGCGCTTGCGAGCGGCGCCGGCGGAAGGGGCAGTCCAGCCCCGGGGGACCGAGGCCGAGAGTGGCCACGGCGGGCACCGGCTCTGATCTCCGAGGCCGCCCGGGAGGGGGCTGCACTCGGGGCCCAGATATCGGCTGTCATGGTGAAGAGAGCCGCTGGTGCCGCGAGGCTTCCCCGGACGCCGGGTCCCCGGGGTCTTACTGCGGCTTCCCAGAAAGCAAAAGCGCCGGGGACCGGAGCCGCGAGTCCATCTCGCCGGTGCTAGTCGGTCAAAGCCCTGGTTGCGATGCAGCCGACCTGTGCGGGCACCGCAGCCGGGGGTGTCTTAAACCGGACTGCTTTTGTTGCCCCGCGAAGAAACGGCGGGGGGATTTCTCCTTTCCAACTGATGGCTTGGCAGTGACCAGTGCCGGCTTGGGTGCCTCCCGTGGTCTGCTTCTGTGTCCCAGACAACCGCCCGAACCAAGACTGATTGTCGCCGCCTCCCTCGAGCTGCGTAGCTTGTTTCTCCACCCAGAGGAAGCCTTCCATTAGCATTTGTCAAAGCCAGGCAGGTCTCCTGTTGAATTAAACCAGACTTAGGGAGGGGAAGTCTGTGTTTACAGAGGAAACTGTCCTCCCACCCCCGTCATTAAGAAGCTCTAGACAAGTGACTTTTGACAATTTTGTTCTGTATTCATTATCAACAGAAGAATGGACATACGTTGTGCACATAAGAATACAACTTTACGTTTTACTTCTGAGGGTCTTGGGCCGAGATGTGAGAGACAGGTTAAAAACTCTCGTTTGCAAGCTTTTGTTCCGGTACTTGAGGATGCCAGCAGAGATTTAGGAAAATAAATAGCGTATTGAGTGGGTTGAAGGAGCTGGACTGGCTTTTCCAGGGCAAGTGCTGACTCTGTGTGTTTTCTCTAGGGGGAAACTCGGCCGGTATCCTCCTTGGCCAGGAAAGGTGAGTGTCTTGCTCCTAAAGGAAGATAACTGAAGATGGGTATGAGGAGGTGGAGAATATAAGATTCATTCCTCTAAATTTCTAGCATTGAGTTAAACGGGGCCAATTCAGATGGCGCTTAGAATTTTGTTCCCCCGAGTTTTTTTTTAAAGGCAGTACAGTATACACCAGATCGTTTAATCTGCTCTAATCACTATTTGTTGATTTAGAGGAGGTTTATGAAGTTTCTTTTTTTTTAACCCCGGAAATAATTCTAATCTGAATTTAGCTTCATGTTTAAATGTAACAAAAGGAGAAGAAAATATAAATTATCCAGGAAGAGAGAGAAGTCTAAATGTAGGTTAGTGAAAAGCCAAAGTATTTTTGTCCCAACTAAGTTTAAATCTTTTTTCTGTGTTACCATATGTGCTACTCCAGTGCCTCTTTGCAGAAGTTGGCATTCCAAATTTTGCATGAGGTGATCTATCATTGCTTTCCAAATGTTCTGTTTTTATATTCTTGTTCAGAGCCCAGGAAGTGTCTTCAGATGGCCTCTTTGCAATATGGTGTTTTCTGTGCTTCAGTTGTCCTTTGTTTTCACTATTTCCTATCTCAACTCTTCCTGCACAGGAAGTATTTCAAAGAGTATCCTCTGCATTTCTTCCGTAACCAATGTCACATGTTGGGGGCGCAGCAAAGGAGCAGGGGATGCTGTTGATTTAACTCCTGGTAAAGCAGGGCCACTGCAGTGAAAGGGATATTGTGTTTACTAAGCCCTGCGCCACATGTTAGATATTGGGAACTTCTAAAATATCTGCATGTTTCCACACATCTCAATCAAAAAATGGGAGATTTAGGCAAGTACTGGCCTTGGGTTCTGTTTTGTACATGAATAAATTTGTTTATAAGTAGGTCTTTTAATTGACTTTTTTCTTACCAATGTAGAGCTGTGCAGGGCACTGTGGAGCCACTAGAAAGTGGGCTGTTATGTTGCCAGCCAACCTTTTTCCCCCTTTTTACTCTCCAGATTGTTAATCCACCGAAGGACTTGAAGAAACCTCGTGGAAAGAAATGCTTCTTTGTGAAATTTTTTGGAACAGAAGACCAGTGAGTAGTAGTCACCAGGAGTCTCCCTTTGCCTTTCTTTCTGTGTTACCTGGAGTTTGAGCTGCTTTGAGAATATTCTAAGGATCCTTAGTTCAGTCTTCTTGTAGTGTATAAGACTGGCATCAAATCCTGGCTTCATACCTAAATAAAGGTGCAGTTTTCTGCAGAAATTGTCTTATAAGAGCTATGTTCAGTTCTCTTTTAATGCTATATTATCATTATGGTTCATGCATGAGGTATACAGTGAAAACTAAAATTTTATTTATCTTAATAAAATTGTTCAAACTTGTTCTCATTTGTAAAACTAAGCGATTTGCTTTGACATTATTATAGTAAGTCTTTTTACCAGATCTGTCCTAAAGTTGAGCAAACCAAGACCATTAATCTGAGACTCTTTGACCATATAGCATGTCACAGTGAGGGGAAGAACATATATTAATTTGAGTTACTAGTGATTTGTTTAGCTTTCTCATCACTGCATCAAGTTGCTTACCTCAGTCTAGCTAGATGGTTTGATTTTTTTTTTTTTTTGAGATGTAGTTTCACTCTGTCACCCAGACTGGAGTGCAGTGGCATGACTTCAGCTCACTGCAACCTCCACCTCTCAGGTTCAACCGATTCTCGTCCCTCACCCTTCCAAGTAGCTGTGACTACAGGCACATGCCAGCACCCCCAGCTAATTTTTTTGTATTTTTGGTAGAGACGAAGTTTCACAATGTTGGCCAGGCTGGTCTCAAACTCCTGACCTCAAGTCATCTACCCCCTTAGCCCGCAAAGTGCTGGGATTACAGGCAAGAACCACCGTGCCCAGCCAGTTTGATTTCTTTAAGTAGTTGTATTTCTATTTATTACTATTATTATTATAGGAAAATACGGGCTTAGATTTGAAAAAAAAAGTCTGTGACTTCTCTGGTAAATCTAATTCTGTTGGTTAAAGTATTTCTTCGTAGAAAATGATATGTTATAAACAGTATTCTTCACTCATCCAGGAGTTTTTATGTCAGAGTGCTCTTCCTGGTTTCATGTTTACAGATATACCCAGCCCCCAGTTCTCTATCACAAGCCAGCGTAGTAGCCTGTGGTGGCAATATTTCAAGGAGATCATTGGCCTGGAGCTGTGGAGGCAGAGCTTCTGGAAGAGGGAATGTTCTTATAATTCCAGGGATTTAAAAAAGAAGATTTGGCTGGGCATGGTACCTCAGGCCTGTAATCACAGTACTTTGGGAGGCCAAGGTGGGCGGAGGTCAGGAGTTGGAGACCAGTTGCCAACATGGCAAAACTCTTTCTCTACGAAAAATACAAAAATTAGCCAGGAGTGGTGACGCACAGCTGTAATCCCAGCTATTTGGGAGGCTGAGGCTTGAGAATCACTTGAACCTGGGAGGCAGAGATTGATTGAGACACTGCACTGTAGCATGGGTGACAGACTGAGACTCTCAAAAAAAAAAAAAAAATTGTCCTCAAGTGTTGTGTGTCCACACTCTGAATTGCTTGACGCTGAGGGAACTTGTAGGAAAGCAAGTGTTATGGTTCCCACCTTCCAGATGCTCAGTTAAGTGCCAAGTTGTAAACATTTCAGAAAAGATTATGTGCAGAATGATGGCTGGGCAGGGTGGCTCACGCCTGTAACTCCAGCACTTTGGGAAGCCGAGGTGGACGGATCACTTGAGGCCAGGAGTTTGAGAGCAGCCTGGCCAACATGGTGAAACGCTGTCTCTGCTAAAAATACAAAAATTAGTCGGGCATTGTGGTACACACCTATAATCCCAGCTACTCAGGAGGCTAAGACAGGAGAATCGCTTCAACCTGGGAGGCAGAGGTTGCAGTGAGCCGAAATTGCACCACTGCACTATAGCCTGGGCAACAGAGCAAGACTCCATCTCAAAAATAAAAGATTATATGCAGAATGAATTATAGCAGGTAATTATTAATTCTAGGCTGGGCACAGTAGCCATGCCTGTAATCCTAGCATTTTGGGAAGCCAAGACAAGAGGATTGCTTGAGCCCAGGAGCTCAAGACCAGCCTAGGCAACATTGCAAGACCATGTCTCTACGTAAAAAAAAATTTTTTTTAATTGCCAGGTGTGGTAATATGCAACCGTAGTCCCAGGTATGCAGAAGGCTAAGGCAGGAGGATTGCTTGGGCCCAGGAGGTCAAAACTGTAGTGAGCCGTGATCACGCCATTACACTCCAGCCTGGATGACAGAACTATACCCTGTCTCAAAAATAAAATTCTAGAAGAGGGAGAGAGCAGTAGAGAGCCATGAAATCCAAGAAGACTGACAGAAGAGATGGGATTGGAATCAGCTCTGAAAGATAAATAGAATCTAGATGGGCGGGGACTATACGGGTATTTCAGGCAGCGGGGATACTATGAGCAATTGGCATTGAGCTGGGTGTTGTGGAAAGGGAGAGGCTCCCTGTCTGGGGTAACGTGCTTAGGAATAACAACCAATATGGTTGGCCCAAACTTCATTAGCTGAATGAATAGTTACACAAGTCTGAAACAAAAATGGAAACTCAGTCTCGTCATAGGGAGCCTGAAAGCCATTGTTTCCTTATGATAAATTTTTTTTTGAGACAGCACTGGAGTAGCATGGACATGGC